TTGCTGCCCACAGATACTACTTACCAGCTAAGTGCTATTTCTTATTTTTATAACGTTTTTTCTGTTGTTTTGTTCGCTGACGAAGGCTTTCTGCCGACACGTTCGCTGTTTTGTTGCGTTTAATTTTTCAGGTTTAACCATACTCTGTTTTACTCATTTTATTTTGTACTAACCTGATTGCAGTCTCTCCCCTTATTACCCCTGTTTAAGCTTAGTGAATAGTGTGTAGTAAAGACCTGCTCAGGCTTTAAAAATTGGACATAATGATAAGTCATAAGGAGACTGTCAATCGCTGCTTTTTCAACATATCTTTAGGAACAAGGATTTTCCACACTATGGTGCAAAAATTACTGAACCGAAGACATTATTCAAATTATTCTCTCAATTTTCATGTAAATGAATCGAAAAATGAAACATCATTTCCCCAAAAATTTGGTGTAGGGGTATTTTTTTTTCAAGAGATTTTTTCGTTCTATAATTATTATGATTTTATTAATTTATATTCATTGCATTTATTTGCATGCTTTTAAAAAATATTTTTTATGGTAGTCTCCGTATAAATAGATTCAAGAAACTCTTCGAAGTTACATTACGTATGATTCACTTCATTGCAAATTGAGGGATTATCGTTTTTGACAAATATATTTTGGGGTACACTACTACTACTACTAGTCACTGATGGCTAATACAACTTCCGACCCCTGGCATGAAGGGGAAGTGAACAAGGCAGTTTTTCAACAAAATATAGGCCTATATGTGAGGAGTAAAGAAAAAGCCCCCACTCTTGCTTAAACCGGGGACTGCCTTATTGTCACAACCATCAATACCATTAACTCAGTGACTTACCTCGGTCTTACAAAAATGGTTGGGTCACATGTTATTGGGTCAGAGGGCAACCTACAAGAAAGTCAGGGTTGCGCATGCTAACATATTTTACTTGTGGAAAAGCACTCCATGGTGGAAACTTAAGTGAACGGACCACTGTCCCTGAACTGCCAGCTTTGTACACTAGCCCCAGAAACCGCAGAGCAGTCGCTGCCTGAAATTTGAAAGTAAAGGGAGGCTGAAGCCGCAAGCAGGTCCTACGTTACAGCCATGTTGCATGGCATAGACAAAAAAATTGGGTTAATTGCAAAAGTACTACCAATGACCGCTGACCATAAAGACTTGGACAGCTAATGAGTTTTTTAAAACAAGTCTTGACTTTAATTGTATATTTGTTCAACAAGTTTCTGTAGTTTCTTTGAGTTAATACAAGGTATACTGTCAGAAATTGTGTATATAGACTGGTTGCTTGATATGGCTTGTTCATGTTTAGACTGCCAGCAAGCTCATTTCCCAGAGCGGCATTAAGTCTAACACCCCAGTGAAAACAACATGTTCATATTATTGTAGATCAAAGTGCTCACAATACAAATTTATTAGACAATGAATAATTGAAAACAACAATGTAATTCATAATAGCATTCTTTTTATTTGTCTTTGTCTATATATGTACAAATCTAAAGTTCTTTCTTTTTAAAAAAAAAAAATTACACCAAATTAAATTAAATTAAATTAGTTATAATGATTTATATTTATGGTACATAATCCAATATAGGCCTACACAATGCCAAAAATTGTACAAAACTGTAACCCGTCAATGAAAAGGCTTGAATTATCCTTTCCACTTAAGCATCCGTTTATGTTGTATTGTTGCAGCAAGACTCCTAAATTTGCTCTTTATACATTATAAATTATAAATGGCCGCTACATTTAAAGTAGATAGGCACCTTCATATGTCCTGATCCACCAGAAAACATAATTTTTAGTTCTCCTCTAGCTCCATCAGATTCTTGCCCTTGGTCACTTCCCATGAATCTTTATTGTTACACGTTTCCTGAAAAATTACTTTTTTTAGACTTATCCAATTTCTGGCTTTATTTCTGTTACAAGTTACAGACAAGGATTTGAACTACTCTTGTAGAGGCTTGATGTCCTCAGTTACAATATAAATATTTCAGGTCACAAGCAGTTAATGCATGGATTGCTCTGTCCACCATTTGCTTTTTATATTTTCAAGAGATGAAAAAGTTAAATAATAATGATGAGCTAAACAAGAATTTACAGAGATTTGATTTGATTTAAATTTAGTATTAAATAATGAAATCTGTCAAGCTTAAAATTTAGAAACCAGATTTAGAATACACCTAACCTTAAACTTAAATAACAATACTATAACTATAATATACACACACAAAAATTTACACTGCGCTGTGGTCAAAATAACTTATATCAGCAGTCAATTAATCAAGAAAATAATATAATTATTATGTGGAGAAGGACGAGACATGCCAAATGACAAATTCATCCCTTGAGTCGAGTTCTACATCAACAAATCTCAAGGTAACTTATGCATTTAAAATATTACAAAATGAAATTCAAAAAATTTTTTGTTTTTAAAAAACTTTCGTACATTGCTGATAAAGTTTTTCTTGTTCTTAGTTGGGCTAACATTTTCCCACCCTCTGCAGAATGCCAAAAAAGTATGTATGGTTTGCACCAGTGGATAGGTCGCACCAGTGGATAAGCCGCACCCTCAGTTATGAGAGTTACATGGACTTTTTAAAAATTTAAGTCACAACCATAGTTATGAGAATTACATGGGCCTTTTAAAATGTAAATATAACTACGGTAATATTTGTTATACAGACATCAACATTTTTTTTCCATAACGACATGTAAAACTGAAAAGCAATTATCATAAATTACATGAACATTAATAAAGAATGGGTTGCTCTCTGCTCGAGCTTAAGCAGGGGGAAAACAATTCCCAAACTTTTGATATAAATGACTACTCCACATTGAATAACAGCACACTTGATGTCAATTGGATGGGTCCCACCCCTGATTTTCATAGAAATTTTACGTAAAAGGAGTGTGACCAATACATCAGTATATAATGGTCCATAGATTTTCCCCATATGACTTTTTAAAAATCCCCTTATTTCTCTGCGGAATGAGCTTAATTCTGAATTAATAAACTGGACAAAATTAAAATTAACCATTCTAATTAAAAAAAACAACAACAACATGTTGCAGCTTTTCAATTGTAAATGTTGTTAATCCTTAAGCTGCAAAATGAACACCCCTGATCAAATTCAAAACATTCATAAAGTTGATACAATAGGCATTTGAAATCTAATCTACATATGCCCCCTCCCCCTTCTGAATCGTTAACTATCTTCCTCCCCTGTAACATCAGATATAAGAGTTTTGTTGCTAATCTGTTTAAATCCTAGAATTTCCGCCGTTGATGAACTACTTGTGATGGCCTGCTGGGTGGTGAAGATTTTATCTATCAGGGCATTTTCTTGGTCTCTGTTTTCTATTTCTGTTATGGGTGTCCATGATTGGTCATATTCAAGACGGTATGCACCAAGAAAATTATGAGGACAAGCAGATCCCCATTCCTGGAATTAAAATAATTAAAAAAAATAATGAATTTATTATTTTGAGTACCGGTATGGTATGTTACACAGGCAGGAATCTTATTTAGTTTTAGTTCGGCTTCGTTTCGTTCTGAGATTCATTCAATACAAATGATGGGAAACCATTAGCTTGCACAGTGGACGTTACTTCCTCTCTCAGATGGAACAACATTTAACAGACAATTAGAATTCCCTATCATGGTTGAATCAAAACCATTTAGCAACTGGGTATTAAGACCTAACAACCACGCAGTGCCAAGCAATGGCGACTGATTTTAACATTTTATAACAAATCAACAAGAAAATTTATATGAATAATCTCTCTTTTGTTGCGCACATCCTAGCATGTTTAGCTCATTTCTAAATGTGTAGATCACAAATGTTAAATGAAAATAGCTTGTTTAAATTAGAATTTTTGTCAGATGTTCAATTTTTTATGCTGATCAATAGTAATTTTGTTAAAATGGACTCGGTGATAAATTTGATAGCAATTTAGATGTAATAAGACATAACTCCACGTAATTATGCCAGCTGTAGTAATATAGATGCCTTTATTTAAATTTATAATAATGTGGTGAAATTAATATCATCTTACTTAACAAACTTATTGAGTTTACCATTTTTATTTTTTCCAATGGGGGTGTAAGTGTAATGTTAATATATGTTACTTTTTACTCTAAACACCTTGTGGTCATAAACTGTCAATAACGCCATAAAAAGCAAACTGATTCTTTTTATAGGGTTTGTTGATGACTTAAGTTTAAGCAGATTAAAGAACAAAATTTAAGAATACTGGTACAAAAATGGGATATAAATTTAATAGAGAAAAACTATGTACCGATAATGAAAAGTCTTCAGCATTACTATTTAGCTTAACAGGAACCTGCATAAGAATAACCTCAGTTTTACTTGTAAGACTGTAAAATGTTGTGCCAAATTTTCTCTTCTTAAATTTTTCTTGTGTATTATTATATTAATATTACTATTAGTTAACTATTATTAACATTATTAAAAATTATTGATACATTAAGCTGATTAGCTTTTTGAAAAAAATCTTATTTTATTTTATTTCTTAAAATTATATTTTAGAGTCACCAATTAATTAAAGAATAATCTTGTAGCATATTGTGAGAATCAGCACAGGGACTAAGCAACCGTGCAGATGTGATATTCTTGAAACTGCCATCTACTTATACACACCTGTGGTGACAATATACTGAGGTAGCTTTGTCCTGATTCACGTTCATACAGGTAGTACATTGTCCCAGGTCTCTTCACCAGATTACAAGCTGCATGATGGAGTGAGGCATTACGTTTGGCTTCTTCTAAAACCTGTATGGATACAAACTTAACTATAAAATAAGAACCAAAAAAATGCTACTTTTAAGGTGGAACTAAGAGAATAAGAAAATCAATATAGTGAAGCACAAAATATGCAATACATCTGCAGGTAGGGAGTGCATTTGTTAAACATTTTTGGATTTTACTATTCAAAAGTCGGAGTATATAGTTCATGTCATTTGTTAAAACTTGATGCAAAACATTAAAAAGTTTCCCCCAATTTTATAAAAACATAAGAACCAAAGATTCATGGCATCCTACAGCATAGGTCAAGAGGGGCCAGGTGACAAAGCCCCCCCCCCACCCCCAACCCCTTTCCTGAAATGACTTAATCACTAAATAGTGTTTAGAAAAATATTAAACAAAACTTAAAATTAATTAGGACTTGTGAAACTGTCAGACAATATTAGGACAATGAAAGCATGTCAGTCCTCTACATTTATTACATTGCATATAATCCAAAAAGGTCTCTGGGTAATGAGTGACACCCTGAAGCCCTCACCCCCAAAGTTAAAAATCCTCCATCCATTAGACATGATACAGTAACTTAAATGTATCTTTGTACTCCCATCAAACATGTCAATAAGAAATAATAAGGAGCTTAATGATTAGTCTGAACTGCAGTCTAATATCTGATTAGACAAAAATAGCAAAAAGAATTTTAGTTATTCATTTCTGCAAGTTTATTTCCAATGATTCTCCAACTATTTACCAAAAGCTGAAAATTCAATAAAAGTGTCATGTCATTTAACCATATCCCTTTTGAAAAACATACCTTCCGTGCTTGATTCTGGAGATGACGAATCTGATCTGCTATGACTTTGAGTTTGCTGCCTGCATTGGCTTTGGTGAATTCATCAGCCTATAAGTTTTATTAAAAATATATATATAAAAATGATGTGTTGATATCATTAAATTATAAGCTGACCAGTGACATCAGCACACACACAAATAGGGTGTCATCTAATGTTACAGCATTAACAAGATTGTGTTTTTAATTTCTGTGGGTGTAAAACTTTTTTTTTGAATAATGTAAAAAAAAAATGGACTGTTGATTCTAAACTATTTTTTGAGTCTTCATATTCAATAACTTTTGTTAGGCATCAACTTTTTGTGAAGACAATAACGATTTAACATACTTAGGGCGATCTCGTGAACCAGAATAAACTTCCAAATAGTTCTAGGGCAAACCTACTACACTTTCATCATCAACATTTTCTTTTTCTTCCACAGTTAAGATTGATGCGAGGATACACGACACAATAAGCATAATGAAACCAATATTAAAATGGAACCTATTATCATTTTCACAATATTAAAAAACACATATACATCACCACTCACAATGGAGCCAGATTTACTGTACCTTACCTTCTGTACTGCTCTAGCTAGTTCCACCAAGTCTGATGAATCTGATGTCTTATTTGTCCTTTGACAGTTGACCAGTTGAACACCTAATGGACATGAGTTTGGCTCCACTAAGGAAACTACAAAATTAACAGGAGAATTCTATAGTCAATATAGGCCTACTATTATTGGTTAAGAATAACATATGTGTGAAAGATTTCTGTTAAATTAGTCATTACCAATACCATTATCATAATATAAGTCAATTAAGAAAATTATTGCCATTGGTAGATATTTTGTTGTTGGTCTCACAAAGAGAGAATGTCTATAACATAACAGTGGTACCGGGTACCCAAATTTCAAAATGTGCAGTGAATTGCACTGAAAGGCACTGAGTTAAAAAAGCCATAATTGTTACAGGCCATAACATATAAACTATATCTATAACAGCATTATAATAAATTATTTAACATAATGCTATCACAGTAGAGCCATGCCCGTCGCGCAGGGGGCCTAGGATAATTAAGCTAAAAGTTATGATGTGGAAAAAAATTAAAAGAAATTATTTTAAATTGCAGTGAATAGCTGAATATTTGACTATAGTGACTCTCTCAAAGTGAAAAATATTTTAACCCACAAGTCTTCATGACGGCCAATCATCATGCAAATCATAAATTTTATACCAGTATATGTTTATTTGAATAACTGTTCAATTCACTATTAAGGTGTTATTTTTTCTTCTTCTCTAAGTTCCTTACTATTGAAAAACAAATAAAAATCTAATTTTTTAACATAACAATAACATTGTTTATAATTTGAATCATACATTAATGTAAGAAGGGTTGAAGACACTTTTTAGGAGCACCATTTTCGGTCACTGCTAAATGAAAAGAAATGGTTTTTCTGGGGGAGGGATTCAAAAAAAAAAGAGGGGGGGGGGGGGAGGGTGTTTGCACAATTGTTTTTACCCTTATCCAACATTGGAACTGAAAAAAATACTAAATTCTACAAGCCAACAAAACTAGCCTGGTTGACATCTAAGGTTGGTGTAAGAACAACAGTTGTCTGGAGTGATAACAGTAAAAGTTGTCTGGAGTGATAACAGTAAAAGTTGTCTGGAGTGATGACAGAAAATAATTTAATCGTTTTAAGTAAATTACAGCTGTAAAAAATATAAGCATACCCGGTACAAGAAAGAAACAAATCTGTTAGCTTATAATTATGAGCAAAAAAGAACATGTTAAAATTAAATAGTGGAAGTAAAAATAAAAAAATTCAGCTGCGAAGGTTAGAACATGAAAGGCGGACTCAGAGCTGCCTTTCATGAATAAAAATATAAGTGCAGTTTAATTCTAGGCTCAGTTCAATAATCTCGTTAAAAGTTTAAAAACTAGATCTAATTTCCATGACTTATTTTGATGCCACCCTTAGGCTTTGTTATCTAAGGAAATTAGTCAGGCTGAAAATGAGCTGCCACTGGTGTAAATTGATTGGATCTAAAAATGCTCTGTCATTTTCTGGTGAATTATAAAATAAAGTGTCTAGATAAGATGTTGTGTTGTTTGGACCTTTGAAATAATATTTTTCCTTTACTTATGGTATTCTTGCTTAACTCAAAATGAAAGTTACAGCCAGGGCCTTAGGGAAAGGGAGTGTCAAGGGAGCACTCATTCTGGGAGTCAACATCAGAAAGATGCCAAAATAGTCTTAAGATATAGCACCTTAATAGTGAATTGAACAGTAAAAATCCATTTACTTCACAAACCCCCAGGGTTGCCAAAAATCATCTTTTTGCTGGTCTGCCCCACATTTTACTATAAATTGAGGGGGTTCATTTTCAGACTGCACCAAGCACAGCTTTTACTTGGCACAATCCTGTACCAAAGTGGCTATTCGGACCCGGCTACCAGTCAAAATGGAACCGGATACGCATTGCCACTATTCGGGCCCAGGTCTCATTATAATTATACCAAATGCTTTCGGATGTCATTTGTGGTAATTTATTTTAGTTAAACTGAAGAATTAGGTTTACAAACATATAGTCCATTCAATTATCTTTCATTCTATACCAAATTTTATCTTACAAACCCAACAATAATATTTTAATTAACTCAACCTCTCACTTCTGATACCGGGTCCAAATAGCCGCAGCAAACCTATACACAAGGACAAGAGTAATTATTTAAAATAAAAAAACATACTTTGATTTTATAGATTTTATGCTAGTCAATAATCTATGCAACAAATAATTTGTTCAATTTCGGAAAAAAAATTGTCACGATTGTCTCCCCCCCACAAATTAGCTGTATAGTATAGCTGAGTTGGTTGTTTTCAAAAATCATCCTTTCCCTTCCAATGATGGTCAGTTCAGTGTTTCAAGTTTCTCTAAACTGAAGCTCATGATACCCTATTTAAATATAAGCTGGAAGACTAGAAGCAGTCAATACTTTCACTGAATCAGCAGCCTGTAAACTGTAGCAGTCACTGTAAGACTACACTACTGTAAGTAAGAGTGTAGATAAGTAAGTGAATAAGTGTGTAAAGTTTCAGTTATTTCTTCTCTAGTATTAGTATAGACTATAGAGCTAGCAGCTAGACCAAACTAGGCACACAAACCCTTGAATTAATTTTCCAGATGGTATACTGAAAATATTCCCTCCTTTCAATTTCAAGATAATTTAATTATAATTTAGCTTTAATAATTATTGTTTACCCAGCATTGCACAATTATTGGATTCCATCATAGGGAAAAATGAACCGTAGTAGCAATAGCTAAGTCTTATATAATGATGCACTTTTACTTTTGACCCGGAACATAAATTCTATGGTTATAATAATATAAAAAATGGATTGAGAATCAAACAAAACAAATAAGAATTACGTAATAATTGAAATAATTTTAACACAAGTAAAAATAAAAACAAAGCGTAATCAAATTCAATTAAAATTAATATAGGCTGCAAAGAAATGAAATATATATATAAACTATATAAAATTACTTAAATAAAAAAAATGATTTTCCAAAAATGTGCTACGAATTATTTTACAAAGACAAAGTCAAAGCAGTACGTAAATCAGAAAACCTATTTCTTTTTAAAAATATATTTAATTAAAAATTCACCGAAATCTCAAAATTCAGCTTGAGAATATTGATTTAGCATTTAAAGACATGGCTGGTATCACGTCATAAAATATTGCAACCCCTAAAAACACACGCACGAAAACCGTTCATTTCTTGAGTGGATCGTCCATTAATTGTGTCAACAAAATGGGGGGGAGGGGTGGAAATGTTTTACAATTGTTGACAAGGGGGAGGGGGGTTTAGATTAATTGACGTCAACAATCAGTATCATGTTTTCTCCATTAACATTTTTATGTTATCAACACTGCTGATGGCTGGTCAGAATGTTAGCACATTTAGTTAATGCAAGAGAAGTCAAAAGTTGGCCTCTCATCGACTGTAGATTCTATTTGTCGCAAATTACTAGGGCGCATGGGCGCCCGCAGAAAATTTTTTAGGGGGGGGGCAAAAAAATCGATTAACTTTCCAGGGGGGGGGCACAAATTTTGTAGTAATGTTTTAATATAGTTTTAATTTACTGTAGCGTATTTGTATGGTGAACGAACGG